GGATTCGAACCCGCGACCCTCAGATTGTGAGTCGAGCGCCTTATCCACCTGGCCATGCCGGGCACTTTTTAACACTGTCATCTTGGACAACGTGTATAAAAGAGGTTACACCATTATATTTCTCTACCACTTCTACTGGTAGAATAATCATTATTGTCTATGAGCAACTGAATGTTTAAAATCCGATGCTCTCACACACCATAATAATCTCCATAAACAGAGAAGTCGAGTAATGATGTATCAATCTAGGAAAAGTTATTTCGAAAAATATTTCAATGATTACGATTAGTTTTAAAACATATCACTTAATATATTAAGCTATTTTTAAACCAAAGCTAATCACCAACCTTCGTCTTTGTTCAAGGCTTCTTGATGTAACTGGTATGATGCTTTCTTGCTGCTTGACTGACCACTGCCCATTTTGTAGTGAAAATCACGCTTGAGTGACCCTGTTCAGTACTGCACATTTGGCGCTGACGTCACAATTATCGAAGACAGGCGGCCCAATTAATCCATCACACACCGAAGAACATAACTTCATGCAAGTAACACTAAACAAAATTACTTAACATATATATATTTGAGTCTTGACTTCTTATCTGTATATTACTAGATATGGTGGTTTTTGATGGCTAAAATCCGAAATGCAATTTAAAATAACTTACTTTAGATCTTATCGCACAGGTTTGTTTTTGTGAGTAACAAGAACTGTTATAAAATCATGGTTATAGTTCCAGATATAACGCAGCTTTGATGTACTTGAACTTCGCAGAACGGCGATAATGCCAGGAAATATTCCATTACATGGGCGGACCTACGACCTACTCCACGAGAGACGATAATATTTAAAAATCGTAGTAAAAAAATCTTTGTTGTTAAGATACATGTTTACTAGTGAGATCAGTAGTTTTAGTAGTAGTTACAAGTATACACAGGAATTGTCACATAAGCTACAAATAAATGCTTATACATACCATTAAACGAGAAACAATCATTCTGGTGAACATCATTTAAGAACAATCTTTTCTCTGTGTGTAAATGTGACAATCTTTACTGAAGTTTTAGGTTGCTATTTTCTAAAATTCGTAGTCATTTACATCTTCTCTGCAAACATGACAAATGTTAAACTACGTTTTTTTATGTCTTTCTGCGCACTACGCATGAAAATTAAATTTTTAAAAATTCATGCACTTAGAACTAGCATAGACACCACTACACACCACGGTACTCAGTCCAGCTCATTGAACAATAAACGGGCGTGTTGACTTCTTCACGCACACGGACTTTGCGCATACTACACACTAACCAATCAACAGCCTTTGCCTATACGTTTGTATCATAGAGGGTATGTATGATACGTCAAATGGTTTATTACTAGATAAAAACATAGCACAAGAAGGTACAAACCAATGTGTCTGCTGACGATGCAAGTGTTCTGTCTCAGTTTAGAATTTTGTTTCAGATCTGCTTATAATACCTTTCCGGAAAATTACCACAAACAAATACAAATCATTTTCACAAAGACGTAAAATTATCGAACAATCTACTACATACTACGTGATGTTGAATAGCTTATTAATAGTTAAATTCACTTTCTTTACAAAACAGCACGTTATAACAACCTCATTAAATATTTATGTTTAATAACTAGAATGACCTATGAGCATCTGTTCTATGTTTACGACGCTACAAACTTTCGGCTGTTTATATACATGTATGTATATACATAGAAAACCGCGAAAGTAACTTCGACATTGGTTTTGCAATTCACTGACGTGGCATCAAAATACCATGACTAGCAGTGCCATCTATCGATGATCGTTCAAACCTAAAAGCGAAGTTAGCATAAGATACCAAAAGACACGCTTGAGGTACTGAGTTAAAACGACGATTTTCCCTGTCTGTCTGTACGCAACGAATTGACATCTAAACGTCGGAGTTTAGCCTCCCAATTCGGAATATACAAGTAAAACAGGTCATGATCTTGTGTCCTTTTCTTCTAGCGTGTCACGTTTTCTCAAACAGTTGAGTGATAGTTTTCAACTGGCCAAAAACAACGTTTTAACAAAGACTTTCGTGTATAGTGTGCTCATAATTGCTTTAGTACTGATGATATTACAGTGGAAAAATTAATTCACGAACAAAATATGAATTTTTAGCGAAAATGTGCACTTTCCCACAACATACTTCAGGGAAATTTCATTAGATAATTCATTTGAAAGTAGCTAGCTGAAATTTAAATATATTTAGTACAGCAATAAAGTTTAGTTGGTAGAGAATCCAAAAAAAGCGAGCAGGCGTGAAAAAAAGGTACAACTAAAAATCTGATCGACTTCACTTATTTACTTAATTTCTATCAGTTGAGTAGAAACAAGGAAATACCACTAATATGTCGTAAAAAACTTATATATTAGGGTTTGTGTTATATAAAAAGTGTTGTTTATTCATGTGTTACTACTTTTTGGTTTTTGATTCATTTAACTTCCAGAAACTCGTACTTAAATTACTTTATACATTCAGATATCGAACATTTTTCAAAGCTGCTTTTCTAACTGTACAAACATTCTATATAACTGATAAAAAGAGCTCTTCGACGTTTCAGGCTTTGGTAAAACTTTTTTAGTGACAAGATATATAAAAGTCCATAATTTTCGTTTTTACCAATTATATTCATTCACGATATAATTTTGTTTTTCAATATCACGCAAAGCTACTCGAGGGTTATATGCTTCTAATATTGAAGTGATAGACTAGAAGGAAGGCAGCTAGTCAACACCATCTCTTGGGTTATCTGCTCCTAATTTTGAAGGGATAGACTAGAAGAAAGGCAGCTAGTCAACACCACCTCTTGGGTTATCTGCTCCTAATTTTGAAGGGATAGACTAGAAGGAAGACAGCTAATCAACACCATCTCTTGGGTTATATGCTCCTAATTTTGAGGTGATAGACTAGACGGAAGGTAGGTAGTCAACACCACCTCTTTTACCAACGAAAAGTGGGAGTGACCATAACATTATAATGCTCTCACAGCTGAAAGAGCGAGCATGTTCGGGGATGGAATTCCAACCTGCGACTCTCAAATTGCAAGTTGAATGCCCCTTACCACTAGGTCTCCCACGATGTAAATGATTTTGCAAGACAAGGTTGTACGGGTAGAAAATGGAAGATTTGTGAATGATCGTTTCTGTGACAAATATATTTGTTCATAATAGAAGAGGCCTGGCATGGCCTGGTGGTTAGGGCGCTCGACTCGCAATCTGAGGGCTGCGGGTTCGAATCCCCGTCACACCAAACATGCTCGCCCTTTCAGCCGTGGGAGCGTTATAATGTGACGTTGGTAAAAGAGTAGCCCAAGAGTTGGCGGTGGGTGGTGATGACCAA